CTTCATCCACATATCTCTGAGTGGTTACAGAACCTCCTTTAAAGATATGCAGCTTAGTGTGGCCATTTATCACCCCTAAATTATTAAACTGCAATCTGGGAAACAAAATATTTTAAACACAAGGGAAGGCAAGTTGTGTGTTCCTTCCTCTGTCCAGATCAAAACACATCTAGAATCACTGTTCAGACTATAACTGGACTCGTCAGTAAACAATACTCTGGCCAAGTCGTCTTGTCTCCATTGGACATGACTAGTTTAAATGGCCTCTTTTGTAAGCTGGAGTGAGTAGGACATGAACCATTGGTTTTTCTCACATAGAGTCTAATTTTGTTACATAGAATTTTCTCACATAGAGTCTTCATTCAGTTAGTAGAATGACTAATTAGAGTTCCTGTGGCAGCCTGAAGGTCTAAAACCAAATCTTTTGTAGTAGCTTTGTGGTTTCTTAAAGCCAACAATGATAGAAAATTGTCTTCTAATCTAGTTGTTGCTCTTAGTCACCCCTGACCAGGCTGTCTGTCATCTGATCCTGTGCTTAGAAGCTCTAAATTCTTGATATGACACTTGAGGGATATTCAACTCTTGGGCAATCTCCATTTGCATTTGACCTCCCTCGATTCTACCAATTGTTCACCACTTTTGACACAGCGGCCGACCGGTAAAGCCACTGAACACTGGTAGTTCGGTCCGAGGTTCGAATCTCGCGAACGGGCTGGCTGCATGGGCGTTTTCGTGGTTTTCCCCATGTGTAACGTGTATACGAGCCAGTTTCCCTTAGAAAGTCCTCCACGAAAGGCATCCCTCCCCTTAGGCAGATAGCCCTAGTGTGCTTTGCCATAATTAAATACACCAACACCACACCACTTTTGATATTCACTTAAATGATACCTCTGAGCCATAACTACTGAATACTGATCACGCTCAGAAACCATGTTCACTTTAAACAACACTACAGACGGTAATTCCAACATGTGTCCATTGCATACCACATTGTCATTCACCGAATTTGCATATTTCCAGCATGGATGGAAGTGCAGTTTGTGTTAAAATTTAACATAAATAATTACAGCATTGAGCATTTTTTGCAGCATTAAGTTAATGAGCATATTTTTTTCTCATTATCCTTTAATTTTGATGATCAATGTACAATGTTGTCAAAGTATGAAAAATTAAATAAAGGAAAAATTAGTTTATACTGTTGTTGACTTGCTCATGACACGTTTTTCAATTATATATGACTTGCTTCCTCAACGTTAACCTGAATGATCGAGAGTCTACTGTATATTCAATGAATCATTTGGAAAATGTTATATATATTGTACATCTTGGTACTATTTTGGCTGTTTCCCCATGGAAAATGTTTCAACATTTATAACATAACCAGAGTTGCCAACTCTCCCGATTTTCAACCGCTCTCCTGCCAACCTGATTTACAATATATTTCTCCCGACTTATTCTTAAAATTTCTCACAATTTTTATGGAACTTGACCTAATACTTCGTTATATGAACAAAAATAAATAAATAAATAAATAGATTATATCTAAAACAAAACCTTCGGAATCAGATGAGAACTTTCTGCTTTGTGAGTGAGAGCATATACGTATCCAGAAATGTCCTTCTCCAGTTCTCCACTGCATGTCGTCTGGCATATATTAGCCAATGAGCACAAAGCAAGCTCAAGGCTGTTATTTGGATTTTCTTTAGTTATTTCGTTCATCTTGTCCTGAGTTATGCGAGTACACGTGCCTTCGGCAAATAGTTTTAGAAATTATCATCTTTTATTATGTCTGCAAGAAAGGTGAAATACTCGTGTACGTTTCAAAAATTGTACACAGTTAACTTTCCTTCCGTTATTTTCTCAAGGAAATGTAATAAATTTGCGATGTGTACCATCTGTCGTTGCGATTTTTTCATGCGAAGTCGAAAAATCGCATCTGCCGTTGCGATTTTTTGATTTCGCATGGTGGAAGGGCGGATGTTCTCAAACATGTGCGTACACAAAAACACAAGGACAACATGAGTTGTTTTGAAAAAAAAACGAAAAATTAAATTTTTCATTGGAAACAAGGGACCAAAAAGTTATTAATGCAGAATGTCTGTTCTCTGCTTTTTTACTGGAGCATAACCTGCCACTGAATGCATCGGATCACGCTGCAGCTTTATTTTAAAAAATGTTTCCCGATAGTGAAATTGCTAAGAAATACTCAAGTGCAAGGACCAAAACAGGTGCAGTTGTTAAAAAAATGGGTTTGAAAAATAAATCTTTAGTTATTGATTGCATTAAAACAGCTTGTTCTGCCTCTCTACGGAGGGAAGCAATGATACCGATTCAAAACTGTATCCAATTGTTGTTTCTTTTTTTAATCCAGAGTCTTCAGAAATTGAGTGCAGTTTACTTTCTGTCCTCACTTTAGAAGGACATTCAACAGGCTTTAATATAGCACAGCTAATTATTAAAACTTTAAAAGAAAATGCTGTTCCTCTGGATAATTGCTTAGCACTTGGTGCCGATAATGCACCTGACTGGTGTTGCAGGCATCTTAAAGGAAAATTCAGATTTGCAGATGTGTTTACTGTATGTTTATCTTGTGAAGAATATTTATGTTTTTTCCTTCGGATCTTAACAAAGCTTTTTGCTTTTTATTTACAATTCATTTTGCCATCATTCAGTGTTCTTAACATAGTTGTACAAAGCAGAATTCCATTAATTAATGTTTTGCAATCAATGATTTATGATCTGTTTAAAGACATTTTATCAAAGTTTGTAAAACCAGTCTGTGTTTTGTCTTGTAATTCTATACATGATGTGATTTATGGTGAAATAGAAAATCAGAAGGAAGATGATATGGTAATAGGAGCTGCAACTACAAAAGTAGTGAAAGAACTTTCAGAAGAAGACAAAAATAAGTTTTATCTTCTGTTAGAAGTTACTTCTGTTGAGTATCTGATTACATACTACATAAATTTCCAGTCAACAATGAAGTGATTTTGCATGCTAAAGTTGCTGATGATTTTGCTCTAGCAAATGCATCTTTTTCTGATATAAGGTACTTTTTGAACAGATTTCCTGCATTACTTCATTTAGTCATGAAAGATGATGATATTGATATTGCCACTTATAATAATGCAGTCGCAATTTTGCGGTTTACAATTAGAAAACTTGGATGAAGTTATAAAATCAGCTAGGATTGACACTCAGTGGAGTTTAATTTGAAAACTGAAAGGTGCTGATGGAATTTTAAAGTATAGTGAACTGTCTAGAATTATGTTGGCCATCTTGACTGTTCCCCATAGTAATGCAGAGTGTGAGAGGATTTTCAGTGTTACGAAAATGAGGACTAAATTTAGATCTAATATTAGTAATGGCACATTAGAAAAAACTTTTATTAGCAAAAGCAGGCCTACGTGGCAGTTGCTATGAATAAAATTCTGAAGTTTCTTTCTTAATGAAAGCAAAATCTGAACTATTCATAATATTTGTACGAAAACTGATGAAAGTGTCTTTTTTTTTTTTTTTTTTTTTTGTTTGTTTGTTTGTGTTTAAACGATGCAAGTAATAAAAATGTTTTTTATGTGTAAGGTATTTTTGTGTTGCTTGCATTTAAGAATTAGTAACTATTTAAAGTTAATTCATTATTAAAAACTATATTTTTATCATTAAAAAAGTCTTTTTAACATTGTGAAAAATCTCCTAATTTCTTAAATCTCCTGATTTTTGAGTGTCATAGGTTGGCAAGTATGCATAACATTTCCAGTGTCATTTTTTCTGTACCTCAGCTACAGAATTTAGTTTTGCCATATTCTTTATTTCATAATTTTCTTGTGATAGATTCACCTGAAGTGTAATCCATGTTAAAGAGAGATGGAAAAGATTGTTAGAAAATGCATAAATTGTATGCATATATTTTATGCAGAAAATTAATTACTTAATTATTCAGAAAATTAATGTATTTTTAGGTACAACAAGTATTTAAAATGTGTATCCTCTTTTTGAGTTCATGCTTTCATTCTGGATCATAGAGAATCGTACACAAAAAAACCTCCCTCTACCATAAAAGTTTCCAAAAAAACTATAATTGAGAAGTCCTAGGTTACATATTAAGTCCTATTTCATAAACGTATTTTATTTATGATATTTAGGTATTTGGAAGATTCAAGATTATTCAATGGAACATTGCATTTCTTCCTTCACCAGTTTGCTCTTGTTTAACAATTCATCACAAATAAATATGCGTTTGACCAGGCATCCACATGTACTAAAAATAAATTTCAGTTCTTCAAGCTCTTTATTTGATGTTTTTTAGGCTCATTGCACATGTTTAAGTGATGGAGCTTGTGTTTATGAGGTTAGTGTAATTATTGATTATGTCCTAAAACCAACATTAAAATTATCAGCTATTTAAGTCAAACATGAGCAATCTTTAAATTTAGTCCTTTCAAATATATTGAGACTCAGTTAGATTTCTATGAATATCTAGCTTTGTCAAATTTCCAAAAGACAGCTTTCTTTTCCCATTAAGGAACTTGCATAATAATTATTCACAGCATTCTGTAACAGGGTTTATGTAATAGCGTTACAAAAATTTAACAGAAGCTGTCATTCGCAAAGATTTGCTCTTTTATAAGCATAATGACACAGTACTATTAGGTAGTTGTTAAAATGTGTAATAAAGAATAATTGCAATGTAACGGAGGATAATTGCTAAATAATAAAATTTCCCCCAACACTTATTTTATACAAAGATAAAAATTAATGTGCTTTATGTGTTGAGTTTTTTTTTTTTTTTTTTTTAAGTCTGTTTATAAAGAGACATGAGAAGAGTAGTTTCTTTTGGTTAAACAAGTATAGTTCATATTGAATAATATTTCCTTAATCAAAATGTCAGGGTTTCAGCTGAAGTATCATACTTACTGTGATAAATTACAGCTGCTTAAAATCTGCATTGTTTATGTATTTTATTCCACAAATTCATTGATTTTCTTATATTTGTATTTCAGAGACAGACATTAAACGACTTAGAACTCCACTATGAAATTCAGAGTAAAATTGCATCTGCTGCATTTAAGCTTGCTAATGATATGACAGCACGAAAAAGTGTTCGTAAGCTGCGCAAAGTTTCCTACCAGCAAGCAGCAAATAAGGTAATTCTTAAATCTTTAATAACTGAAAAGTTTGATTTTTTTTAACATATAATAGATTTTATTTTCATTTATTTATTTTTGTGTGTATGTTTGTGTATGTGTTTATAAGATTTTAATTCATTGTTTAATTGTTTTATCATGTTTTGTGTCTTTAAAGTTTCAGCTATGAATTATGGCTTGTTGAATGTTTTGTGTCAATTCATTAATGAAAAAACTAAACTCAGTAGCACAACAGCCTTTAGTGAGCCATGACCTTCAGTGCTCTGATATCTGCTTTCTTGACCATGGGCCTTGGGGTGCATGAGCATATACCCTGGACAAGTGATCAGCTTGTCACAGGAGTCGCCAAGCAAACTTGCTGCTCATTCTATCGACCTACTCAAAGATGAAAGGCTGAGTCAACCTTGTCCAGGGGATCGGACCCTGGACCTGTGCTGCTGCTGAGTGATGTGCTAGCCACTATGCCATTGGGCTTCAATTAATTAACTTACTTAGCTTTAATAGTTGTATTATTCTTAAGTGGTTTTAAAATTTTAGAATTTATATTATTTTTTGAATAAATATTGTGTTACATTTTGATAATCGTGTTCTTTTAGCTGAAGGAAATTGAACAAAAATTATGTACATTGAAAAGAGAGAAAGATACTTTAAAGAAAACTCAAAATGTAGCTAGCAGTGGTGAGTAATTAAAATTTTATATACTTAATTTTTATTCATAACAATTTTTTAAATATAAGTCTTTTCAAATACTTTTTCATTTTGATTATATATATTGTTACATTTCTACCAGTTTGTGGATTTGGAGTAATGACAAAACTTGATGAAGAATGAAAGCACAATTTATTATCCAGTATTACTCAGGATAGCTGCAAAAACACGTTAACAGTCGTCAAGAAACTACAATAAACATGCTGAAACAATCAGCAACACAGCTTTCAGGCTATAATGGTGAAGACAGCTTCACAGCAAAGCATGAGAGTACAGTCCTCGACTTGGTTTGATCTTTCTCGGAATTCAGCACACTCTTGAGACTCTCCACGCTATAACTCACAATGCACTCAGCGATACATTTGACAACCAGACTAACGATCAACTCGTTAAACTCGGAGACACACTCAAGATATTTGCAATCGATTTTCTGCTCCACCTACCAGCAGGGTTTACATGGCTTTTGGCTTGCATTTGAGAACATTCTGAGCCAAACTGGTAAGAATTTGTTCCAGAAGGTTCTCCACTCGTATATGGCATGTTGCCAAATGGGCGATTTCTCCCAAATATGGCAACCCTAAACCCACCTTGCATGGAAGCTATTTTAACAGGGCTAGGCATTTCATAACAGTGCCCCCTTCCAAGGACTGCATCTCCTGGGCAGTACAATCCTTGGTCAGAAGCCAAATTGGATACAAACGAAACATAATAAAACAAACAAATAACATAACTAAAGAAACAAATATTTACACTATGTACAAGTTATACACACAAATTAACCACATAATAATTAAAAAAAAATTTTGAATGAATTTCAGTCTCAGGCTTTTCATCAAGTTTTACCTGGGTCAAATATTCTTTTACTGCAGTTCTTAGATGTATTTCTGTTTTGCATGTCACAGTCTGAAGATTCAGTCCTTTAAGACTTTTTAGCCACAGGAAGATCTGAAACAGTTTGCTGAGCACTCCATAGTTTATTTGCATCATGTGTACAGTTCACCTCAGTACTTTTAGCAGTTGGTACACTCTTGTTTTCTTCTATTTCTTGAAAACGAGTTCCAATTTTTTCATTGGAGTTTTGAATAGAATCCGATTCTTTATGAACAGAAGTAACCTGGTTTAGAATCAAGTTGTACAAATGGTATCATGAGACACATACTTAGTTTGAGAAGTGATTGTATTTTCTTGCAATATTGAAACACTCTGCTTAAGCTGTACACCAGTTTCTCCCATCTCAGCATCACATGTCAGATGGTTCATTACTTGCTAACTGCGACTTTGTAACTTCACTACCAGTTTCTATGAACTTAATAATCGCATTTCCATTTTCTTCCACTTCCACTTCAGGGACATGAGAATCAAAAGCTTCTTTTTCATCTTTTTAATCACATTAGATGTTTCATCCATCATTTCTTGATCTTTCTCAGACACTTCACCAGCTTCTTCCTTCATTTCTTCATCCTCTGATTCTTCAGATGCCACTTCTTTCATTTCCACATCTTCTTTTATGGCTCCAGTTTCTTCTGTAAGTTCCACTGTCCACTCACCATAGGAGTTGCTCTCGCAGCTTTTCTTGGCCGACTTTTATCTCTTCTTCTCCAGCTTTCATCTCAGCCCTCATCTCTTCATATCCAGCATTTATCTCATCATATCCAGCTTTGATCAGCTTTCAGCTCTTCATATCCAGCTTTTATTTCATCATCTCTTCTAGCCCGGCTTTTACAGCTGCTAAGAAGTCCATGAACTTTACTTCCTCTGCCATGGCTTTTCCTTGTAGGCTGGTCATTGGCATCCACTCGCAAATCCTACTTCTGACACCAGTTGTTGCATTTCTGTATGGGTTTATGGATTTGGAGTGATTAATGACAATACTTGACGAAGAATGAAAACACAATTTATTAGCCAGTATTTCTCAGGACAGTTCAAAAAACAGGTTTACAGTCATCGAGAAACTACGATAAACATGCTGAAACATTTAGCAACACAGCCTTCAGGCTATCAGGCTGAAATGGTGAAGACAGCTTCACAGCAAAGCATTAGAGTACAGCTTCCAACTTGGTTCGGTCATTCTCGGAACTCTGCGTACTCTCGAGACTCTCGATGCTACAACACAAGAGATGAGTATAATGTGTATCCAACAGCACCCTGTACTATCACAGTAGGTCCTGGTCTTGTATGATGATAATGATGAATGCAAGCTGGCAGTATCCATCATGGTGCTGTATGAAGAGTTGGAATTCGTCTGCAAAATCAGTGGTATGCCCCTCCTTTGTCCATTGTTATTGTTCATCACACTACTGTAGGTGCACCTGTCTCTGCTGCAACATCAAGGGAGGTCACAACAATGGTCGCTATACTGACAGTCTGAGGTGCAGTTGACATCATCAAATTGTCTGTTCAGACATTTGTTGTCCAGCACAGGAGCCAAAGGGAATGTGACAAGGCTGTATGATACCACGAGGCCAACAAAACTTCATGTCTGTTCTCTTGGACATTAGTGGTTTGAGACCACCGAGATCCTGTGTGGTATTCAGTATGGCTCTCATGTATGCAACAATTTGATGTTTGCCTGACAGGCATAAGCTCCTGATCAACATAAGCAATAGTATTGCCAAATAATTTATTGCTGTCCCATGATCGTGCTGCATGAATAGGTCACAATCATGCTGCAGTCAAATTCCAACATGTACTAGAATTTCTCCTTCTTTCACAAAGCATAACATGACCTTTACCCGAACATCCGCGACACAAATGCAATTTCCAAATAAGAAACTCACTGTACAGTCTTCGAATTCATACACAGTGTAGATGACGTTATTCATACTTGCCTTATATGCATGTTCTGGAATGCTAATCATTTGCATATCCCAGCATGTAGTACTTTTCATGCAAATTAGGTATCTATTGCATGCCTCCTTCATGGCATAGCAATTCTAATGACCCACAGTGTACAATTAGTACGAAGTAAGGAATTTTAAAAGGAAAAGATGTCTTGTGGTGGAAAATTGTGTTAGAAAATATTTCCAGTTCTCTAAGTATAGTAAATTACGGTGTTTAATAATTTGGATCTGCATGCTTTTCCAGATCAGGATTTTCACACTTTTTACAATATTTAATGTTTTGTTTTTCCATTTTTGCTTATAATGATCATGTTTTCGACTATCTTTAAAAGTCTATTCTCTGCATGTTTCTGCTTAGGAGGCATAAGATGCTGCTTTTCCTTCTGGAAAAAAAGAAAAAAAAAATTTCTTCAAAAGTTCCTGTACAAGCCTTTGCCTGAAGTTTCTTCTTGATATTTTACTTTGTGTTACATTCTCATAAACAGTTATGCATTTAGTTCTGCAAAATCAAAAAATTATTGTAAAATATTTCAGCCAACCAATATTGAGTAGTATATAAAAAGGTGATCTATGAATGTGATCTGCCTCATTTGTGTACAGCATGAAATGCCACCCCAAAGTAGTCTTAGTTATCATAGTATTTAGTTTATCCCTCCAGAGATGAATTTCAGTACAGATCCTGTTAATGTTCAGTATAGTGATGCTCTGAAATATTTTCATGTGGCTTATGAGACTTGAAATTTTACTGTATATTTACTTTTTAAAAAGAAAAATACTGAGAACTAAAAGCATATTAATTTTTCAAAAGCTGGTTCCCTGAACTATAAGTATTTTCAAAAGAATTTTTACATAAATTAAGACTAACAAACATGCTTAATGAGCTGATTCTCTGGTATCAAATTAATGATAAACTAACAGTCTAGTAGCTTGTATTGTGTTTTGTAAGTATCTGAGCACATATTCAAGAATCTTTTCTCTCACCCTAAAAAGGTGTGTTTATGATATCCTTTAACTTTTTATTGGGAAATATGGATATATTATGCTGTGTGCAATGTGGAAAGGTTTATTATTATTATGAAGATTACAAGTTTCTTTTATTATGAAGATTATTTAAGATATTTTCCCCCTCCGCTGTAGGCTTTCAGTGTTTTATATTGATAGGGCAGTCAAACTGATCGCTTCTGAAGTTCTAGGTATAAGCATGTGATATGCATTGCATAAATCTTTTTTGCTCATAAATTGAAATTATAGTATTTTTTGGTAGTGAAATTTTCTATGCTGCATATTTGACTAATTTTAGGAAAAGTCATAAAATTTCACCTTCAGAGCTAATATGTTGTGAAAGATACATGGACATAGTGTTTCAAAATGGTCAGTTTCATCACTGCTGCAGTTCTGGTGTTAAGCAGTCAGTTGGCCTCTATTTGGAAAACAAGTAGCAAATCTTGCATGCAAGCAATCAAATGTATGTGAGTGTTGTAGCTAGGACATTTGAAAGGGGGAAATATGTATGTAATATTACAGCTAATTTAACGGCCAAAAAATATGCTGATAAATGTAGTTGTTAAATTAATGATTATTTTTCTCTTTTGTAGATAATGTTTTGCATGCCTCCAAAATTCCAAATCAGTATATATTATGATTACCAGTGGCTTTTAGATCATAAGTTCAACATTTCTTCTCTTTTAGGTTTAAAAAAAAAAAAAAAAAAAAAAAAAAAAAATTCTTTCAGGCAATAAATTAGAATCTAAATAGGAAGGATGTAGGTTTTAAGTCTGCCTATAATGGATTTTCTTCACTGTGTGTATCTTTTTTTCACATTAATACTTGGAACATGCATGTAGATTGTACAGTACTTGTATAAATAATAAACAGTTATAAATTATAGACAGTGCAGTAATTGGATAAATTATACACAGTAACAGACAGTACAGTTCTTGGATTCTATTGATGTCAAATGTAGTACTGTAAATTGCTACTAACAATTCGGGATAGCAGATGCTGCATTGATATTAGTTTCTAATACTCTGTGTAACAACTGTTGTCCTAAGAAAGTGCATCTGTAGGGATTTGTTGTTAAAAAATAAATGCTGTTTTTTTCTCCCCCAATTCAATAAAAATTAATTAAAAATTCTGAAAAATGTTGCAAAATTTTACTTAAAGTATTCATGCTTAGCAACCTTTTATTGCTATGAAATTATAAGTGTGCATTTTATTAAAACATTGATATTATACAAAAGATATTCTAAATTGTAATCGATTTTATAAAAAGTTTGATATTCAAATGCATTTGAGATTCATATATTAATTTTCACCATAGGTACAGTTGATGACAGTGGAATAAATCGTCTAGGTCTACCTATTTCTTCTTCAGATAACTCAATTTCTGATCAGAGTAATTTTAACTCAACATTAAATGTAAGTGTTTTTCTTTGTTGTGTGTAATATACATTTCTTAAATATTCTTGGTTGCTGTTAGCAGTTTCTTGTAAAAGTAGTAAGAAAAAATGTTAATGTATTTAGAAATTAAAAAATGGGAGAATTAGATATTTAAAAAATTAAAAAAGGAAATATTTGCTATTTATTTCTCTTATTATGTAATAGCACATAACTAGTACAAAAGTTATCATATTTGACAGCTATTCATAAATACAATTATTTTATAAGCTTCTAGACCATAACATAACAAGTAAGCTAAAATCATTGAAGATCTTATTTGTGCATTTAAAAATAGCATTGCTATATTAAAAGTAATATTTGTCTTTGATGCTTGAATCGTATGTGTTTATATAGAGATTACCATATTTACTAGCGTATTTCTCTCCCTTGCATAATTTTTCCCTAGTCCTCTCAGCATATGATTTAAAAAACTTCTGACTTAGGATTACAGTATAAAATAAATGTTCAAATAGAAAAATATTTTGTTTAAGCAAAAAGAATGTTATTGAAATGGATAAGCCTTTTGAAATGCACAATAATATTAGTTTATCTTTATGTGTGCTTTCTAATCTGCTATAGGTTTAACATTTAAGCTGTGTCTTCAGAAAGGATATGCACTGTCTGTTTTTCTCCTTCCAATTTGTAAGTCGTAGAATTAATAGGCAGAGGGAGAAAATATGTGAATAAATATGGTGTATGAAAATGACATATTTACAAAAGTCTGCCAAAGTAATGTAAGTTTGAATTGCAGTGTGTTGAAATTGAAGGAAGTGGGAAAAAATAGATTTTCATTTGTAAAAAATTAACAAGGCTTTGAGAAGGTTTTATTTTAGAAACACGCAGGACTGTATGTAACTATGCATGTACTCCAAGTGAAAAAAAGAAAAAGAAAAAAAGGAAATTATTAATATGTTGCCGAGCTTTTTTTTTTTTTTTTTTTTTTTTTTCCCTTATAATTAGTTAGCAATTGCTACCGGTAAAAACATTTATAAAAATGTAAATATTTTCATTTTCATTGTTAATTTTTGGGTTATTATTATGTATAAAACTTTCACTGAAGTATTAAAGAAGGTGCTTGTGAAATATATTTTATTTTGGGAGATACAAGTAGATTTTAATTTTCACATTTCATGAATGCAAGAATTTTTGCAAAACATTGGACATAAAGTCAGTAACATGGCCATTAAAAGTCTAAATGATTCTGACAATTATGCCGTGATAATTATCTCATTTCAATAAATAAATTGCATATCACAATTTAGTGCTGAATCCTGTATGAATATCAGTGCAAAGAATGTACAATATTTTATGTAGGCTTTATGCCCATGTTATCTGATATTGTTGCTAGTAGCCATATGTGCCATAATGAACATTTGAAATGCAACTATTGTGTTAGAGGGTACTTCAAATTTAGTTTTTATAATTATAAACATACAAAGAAGACATGGATTTCATCCTGTGCACAGATATCTCATGCTGCTTTTGTTCAGACAGATCATTTCCATTTTGCATTGTTTGCAACAGACATCTTTGTGTCAAAGTGGACCCATTTTGAAAGAAGATATATATACTAATTAACATAAGTCAGAAATTGGAAAAACCAAAGCAAAACAGTATGTTTTAAATGGATGCAGTCTATGGTGACAGCTCAGTTTGCTGTCTTAGATATAGCCATCTTAAACTATGCACACCATAATTATTATTTGGCCGTTCCAGGTTCAAAGAGTTTCTACACTGTAAGAGAGGTGACAACTACAAATGTGACTTTTTTTTTTTTTTTTTTTTAATCTGTAGCAATAATATGTAGTACACCATATAAAGGGTTAGTAAGCAGTCTTAATGTTCTGGTCAAGTATTTCTCATTTACTTGCTCTAGTTGGTATTTGAAATATAGCTGATATTTGAAACATCTTTTACTACATATATAACCTTATCAATGAATATCTGTATAAGTTAAGTCTACTCTTGAATACATCTGTTAAATCTGCTCTTTAATACGGGCAAAAAGGCTGGATAGAGAGTATTTTTATGTTTTCTCTTGTGTGTAAAGTAAATACCAATCAGTGTTCCTTAGAAAGTTATCTACAAAGATAGCTTTGTGTGTTTTGCTGCTTTCAAACAGACAAGCTTATACAGTTACAAGCAAATTTTTATATATATATACTAGTAAAGTATAAAATGGAATAGGACATGTTTTATTACGTTATTACTTATGATTTCTTGTATGAAATTGGTCCCACCATTGGCCATGTATCTAAAGCCATTATGCTGGGAATTCGGCTGGCTGCATGTTTGGTTTTTGAGGTTTTTCTTCGTGTGTAGTATGAATATGAGCCAATTTTTCTATGAATACATCATTCCCTTTAGGCAGGTAGCTCTTTTTGTCCTTTGTATAACTAAACCTAACCTATATGAAATCTGTACAAGTCTGATCTTGTAAGAAGAGATTTTTAGTTTACTAACTCTTGGAAAAAGTCATTACTTCTGCCTGACCCTTATATAAGAAATGGGCTACAGTTAGTCTATCGTTTTTCTCCTGTTCGGCAAGAGAAAAAAGTAGAATATCATTTTTGAAAATTGGCAATCATCGAGGAGAAATGTTTAGGATCATATAAATTTGAATTAAAAAAAAAAAAAAAGACACACATCTTTATATTTAAAGAAATTTTGAATGTATTTTTCTGTAAAATTACTCTTATTTCATTTTCCCCCCTCCCCTCTTCAATAGGCTGCTTCGGTTCCTCCTTCTACATCATTGCCTCAGCTGAGTGAAACTACATGTTTGTCGGCTCCTCCAAGTCCAGCAAAATGTCGGCAGCGGCATCAGTCTTTGCAACATGTTCCAGTTATCACTACTGATGTATATGAAGATGTTCTTCCATATAATGTACATACGAGAAGAAACTCATCATCATATTCTGCAGCCTCAGAATATGATACTGTTAGTTGTGGTAGCAGTAGCATTGCCTCACTTGGTATTCCCTATAGAAACAGGTATTATTTAGAAATTTTGAATTCATTTATCATGTAATATGTTGTATTTAAATAAAACTGGAATTGTTTATTACAGCCTTTACAAATAAATTACAAAATACAAAATTACTTGATAAACAGCTATTGAAATCAGTGACTGAAGTAATAAAATTGATTGAAATCATTATGATCTGTTTCCATTTAGGAGGAGAGCTAGTTTTCAGGTGTTATCTTAACTATGCAATTATTATTAAGAAAGTTTAAATAAAACATATAAAGATTGGTTATGGCCATAAAAACGGTATGCCCTTCCTTTTCCTTTTTTTGTTTGGTTTTTGTGTGTTATGAATTAGTGATGCTTCATACCTATATATATATATATATATATGATTTAATAGTAGAAGAAATCCGGTACTTTAATTTTTGATGTATATGAAAATGATGTACATTCGAAGAGACTTTACTGAGTAGTTAGAAAGATGTATGCATAAACCAAAAACTTTCAGACGTGGCCAATTCGAAATTAATTTTATTCCTTGATAATTCACATTAAATCAGTTTTTTGTAGACAAAATATTTTTTAATCATAGTTGAATACAATAATTTTTTATGTACATGGGTTTTAATATAAGACGTCACCTTAGATAAGTAAACATAGCAGCAGAGGTTTTGCATGGCAGAAGAAGTTATGAAGTGACATAATTGCTCGTGAAACAGTATATATACTAGGTAGGTCCGTATGTATAGCTAAGCTGTGATTGGTTAATTTTTGCTTTGAAAGCAGAAAACGCAAGATCAGTGTGTGTGTGTGGTGAAAACTTTTCCTTTCTTTCTCCAGAGGCAGTGATAATGCATGAAAAGGGGAGAAAAACTTCTTTTTTGTTCTTTCCTTATTGTGAGTTATGACTCATTCCCCCGGTTCTCGGACATTCTCTTCTGGATTCTTTTCGGCAAGTAGGCGCGGCAGAAAAAAAAAGGGAGAGACTTCGTTCAAAAGGGAGAGACTTCGTTCGACCAGATGTGCGATCACGTGACTCTGGGTTCAAAGGTCTTATCTCTCCTGGCATGGCGCCAATAAGTAGAGAAGGGGGATTTTTCGCCGTATTAGCTATTTGTCATTGATCGCTTCTCAACTTTTTTTCTCCGCTGTGTAAAATTTTCGTTTCATTTATTGATGCACGTGTAAATTTTTCGTTTCGTTTATTGAAATATTTTTTATTTATGTACGCAAGAGAATTTCACTATGAAATTTCTCGATATAAATAGTGATATTATACAATTAGAAGAAGGTGTCCGGAATGCATTTAGGTGGAATTGGATTGAACGGAGAGATGGTAATGGGGATACCATCGGCACATGGTGCAAGAAAATAAATGTTGCTGGACAAGCATATTGTGTTTTTTGTAACTCACTGCTGAAGTATGGTGGGGAAGGATTCAAGGCTTTCACAAATCATTCTAAAACTGTGACGCACATAAAATATTCAAAGTGCATTAGACATTCAATGACTTTAAGTAATTATGCTAATTCAAAAAATACTGATGACTTACTGGAGACTGATGCTCGGCCATTGGATATAGTGACAAGAAAAGCACGCCAAGAGGTATTAATAACTTCGTTTATCGCCGAGAATTCTCTTTCTTTCAATGTAGCTCCCAATTTAATTGAACTCTGCAAACAGTTGAGCCGCGATCAGACGGCACTAAACTCGTTGGAAATGTCCAGGACTACTGCATGTTATAAGATGAAATATGGGCTCGCAAAAACTATTAAGGAAAATATCATTAAAACTTTAAAGGAGACTCCATTTTCTCTAAATTTGGATGAAAGTACTAGCAATGCTCAAAAAAAGTATACTGGCAATATTGGTGCAGTTTTATGACAACAATCAAAATGAAGTTGTAGTTCATCATTTTGCATCTCTAAAGATGGAATCTTGCAATTCAGAAGCTGTTTTTAAAGCAGTTGTTAATACTATTGAAGATAATAATATTCCATGGGCAAACTTAATTAGTGTATTAATGGACTCATGTAACACCATGCGTGGAAAAAAAAAAAGGGTGTGTTGAAACCAGACTACGATCAAACAAAGCACCCCACTTATTAGATATTGATGGTGACACATGTCACACAGCTAATAACTGTGCAAAAAAATTTGCTTCATGTTTTGATAGATACTTAGAAGATTTGTTTGATGACATCTATTTTGATATGAAAAGCTGCAGTAAAAGAGAAAATTTTTTCAAAATCTGTGAATCCCTTGCCATTAAAAAACTTAAGCCCTTGAAGAGACCAGACCATAGGTGGGTGTACATTTTATGTGTTTTAGAAAGAATCAAAGATCTGTGGGATGCTCTTATTGCATTTTATTTTCACTACTTGGATAAAACTGATAAAGGGGATTATTTTTCTTATGTTGAAACTGTATACAATAAAAGAAATATTTCTGCAGCTCAGAAAAAAATTGTTGAAGGGGTGTATTCTTGCTTGCATTCCCAACAACTCACAAAGGATGCTTTAGCTCGGGAAAAAAAGAATACTAAATGGGTTATTTGTTATGCAAAACAAAACTTTATTGCATATGGCATTATATTCAGCAGTATTACCAGAGTTCAACACATATATTAAATTATTTGAAACAAAAAAAAACCAATGCTTCATTTAATACATTCCAGTATTTATAAATTGATGGCAAAATTTTCCTCTTTTTTTATGAAGCCAGAAAATATAGAGTGCACATCTTATAATGATTTATTAAAGGTTGATGTCACAAATCCAGAATTCCATCTACCTAGCAAAGTAATATTTACTGGTGCAGAAGCTTCCACTCTCCTGAAGAAATTATCAAAAAATCATCCAATAGCAAAAGAATTCCAAATTTCTCTGATGAAAGCTTATACTAATACAGCACAGCATATGAAACAGAAATTACCCCTTAAAAATTCATATCTAATTAGTTTTACAGCATTAGATCCAGAGCTAAGAGGTAAAACCAGTACAATATTAGCTTTTGAAAAATTATCATCTTTTATGTCCCATATTTTTAGTGATAATGAAAAGTCAAAAGTAGAAGCTGAAATAAGGTTATACCAGAGTGATATTGATATCACCAAAGAAATGCTCTACACATCTGATGAAAGTGGAAATCAAGTCAAGTGTACAATTGATAAATATTGGTCTAAAGTTTTTAATTTAAAAGATGATTTCACAAATGATTATAAGTATCCTACATTGGCTAAATTGGTCAAAGCCTGCCTTAGCTGCTTCCATGGCCCATTAGTGGAAAGTGCATTCAACTTAATGGATACACTTGTCACTGACTATAGAACCTCTCTTAAGATTGATTCCCTAGATGCAGTGCAGACTATTAAATATGATTTAATGGCTTCTAAAGAAACCTCATGTGAAAAATATGGCTAAAAAAATCCAATGACTGATCCAATTCACAAAGATCTCTTACTGAATATGAACAGAAGTTGGAAAACATATCAAGAGGACTTAAAAACATGTATTTCAGATGAGTCACCTATAAAAGTCTCTGAAAAAACCTTCTACATTAGCAGAAAAGCAAACTGCTTCTACCTCTGCATGTGCAGTTCTCGAGGAAATTTCTTCAACTGTAAATGAGGAAAATAAAAGTCAACCTTCCTGCAATTATGAAGTTCACCACAAAAGAAAGACAAGCCCACAAACATCAGAAAATAAAAAAAAGCAGCAGAAATTAGATAATTTTTTTTAAAGAATTAATTCAGGTAATTTAAAATATTTACATAAAATGTAGTAGTTTATATGTTTGAAAATTTATGGTTATTAATTTTGCAAAAAAAGTAATTAATTGAACTTTTATAATTAGGTCATTCAATACTTCATAATTGTAATTTTTCATTTCTGTCCCCCCCCTTCTCGAAACTCCAAAATGTCGGTAGTAAGTCCGTAAAAATTTCAGGGGATTTTTTGGAATCCCACAAACACCCCTGATCTACTGAAACTTAATGGAAGATCTTCCTCAAAATACAGATGCTATGATAATGGCAAACTGCAGACCTGTGTCATATTACCATACTGACTTCATTTAATTAATTTCTCTTGATGCCTGGTTTAATGGCAATGTAATTTTTTTATGTATGCACACATATCGGAAATATTAAGGGTTCATTGTACACTTATGCAAGCAGTGAACAAAGTATCACTTAGCAATATAGCCTTACTTTTTTACATTATTATTTCTATTATATTTTGCATAGTTTGTTTAATAAGTTAAATTTGTATTGTGTATTTTAATATAAAAGTTTCATTTTTATGTTGAAAAAAATTAGCATTATAATAACAGCATCAATCTGTATTTAATTTTTGTATTCCTTGCTGTTTATTAATTTTATGTCTGAAAACTGATATAAATTCATAAAAAGCTATGTGCATGTATATGTTTAAGTGGGTATTTTTTCTTCATTAGGTTTGAAGCAAACCTTGACATTGAAGGTACAAATCACTACAGTGTTCCAAATCGTCGTGCTAGTCAAGCATTTAATGATCCTGATGATCTTCCTTTAGATAATAAAAGTCAAGCTTTAAATCCATGTTGTATGGACAATAATTTAAATTCATGTTGCATGGATAACAAACCGTCCAACAGATATGTGAATGTAATTCCTATGTCCTCATCCTATGATGAAAGACTCTACAGTAAAACTGGAGAATTCTCATTACCAGAAAGTCGATCTGCAGCTGGTGATTACATTTGCGATACAAATTCTATTGATAATAATGGTATTTTAGGTTGTAGTGAATCTATTTGTCAAAGATCTGTTCCTTGTGATTTGTCGAGAACAGACATGTTCAGCCACTCTTATTCAGAGAATTCATTGCATCGATCTCAAGCTAATTCTTTGCATCATAAATTAGAACATGTACACATAAGTGAGCCAGATTTAAATTTTGACAGTGTTGAAATGAAAAATGATTTACCTCATGTGTACAGTGTTCCTATGCTGAAAAATGTTCTTCCCTGTAATGGTGCCTTTCATGAAAATTCTTATAATTATGAAAATACTGAGTATTCTTTTAACACAAATAGCCCTAATGTCAAACAAATTGCAACACCTGTTTTGTTACAAGAAAGTAAAAGAGCTGTTTCTTCAAGCTCATTAGAATATTTTTCACCGAAAATTAAAACAAAAGAATGGGTAGAGACATCTCTGGATTCTCCAGTGTTGACTAAAAAACATAAGCCAAAACATTCTGAAGCATCTGATAATCATCTCTGCCATCAGCAGGCACAATGGGCTGAAAATGGCTTACCATCTATTGACCCTTATTATTCTGCTGGCCCTTATGCAACATTCCAAACTCAAGAGAACTACTTTGATGACTTCCACGATTTTCCTACAAGTAGTGCCTCTACTTTACAAAACTCTCCCCCTCTCTTACATTCACAGTCTAGCTTAATGAATACTCAAGAAGAAAATAATTCTAATACCAAAGGGTTTTTTCCATTGCAGATGCAGAGTGAAAGACAACAAATAAATGCTAATCAGTGCATATATTCAGATGAAAAGCAATACCATCATTATGAGAATACAGTAAGTTTGGCAAGAAATTCCAATCTTCCTGTCAATCCTAACAATTCTTATATGCATGACAGTTATGGTTCAAATAGTTTTAATATTGAAGTTCCAAATAGCAGACAGTTAAGTGAACATTCCATTTCTGATGAATTTGAAAACAAGCCCACCGTCTCTCGGACTGTTGCCGAACCACAGCAACCTCCTAAACATCCAAATCGTCGCATTAATGTGGCAGATAATTTTATAGATGAAAAACTGAATGTCCAAGATTTTCATAATGCACAAATAACTGATCATCATCATGAACCTGTGAATTATAGAGAAACTCCTTGCACAGTTTACTCAGAATCGCACTGTGATATGCCTGAACTAGCAATCCAGTATTCTCACAATTCCAGTTCGTATTCTGAAGCAACTCATGCTTCCAGATGTGAAATGTTTCCAGATGATACTCATGATGTGCAATCAGGTCAAACTTGGCAGGTTTCTGTAGCTTCTCCTAAAAGTGTTGAAAGTGCCCCTTTGTCACCACCAGTTCCTCAAAATATGAGCTTCTCACCCAGCGTGGAAGTAAATGTTGTGTCAGTTGGTCACTTTCAGCCATACTGGGAGGAAACTAAACCATATGAATTAGCTGACTTTTATAAATACAGTACTAAGCACAGGAAACAGCAGAGGATAATACCACCTGCTCATACAAATGAAAGTCAAACACAACAGGATACTAAAGATTTTTCTAATCAGCACCATTTTTATGGACAGATCACAAGGGAAACCTCCTGTGCATCTCAGAGGGATTGCACTTATCAAAATGAAGCACATGATCTCTCAAGTGTTGCACAACCACTAAAGTCTCACGATGTCACAAGCCATGTTCCTGTATTTGACCGTACAGGGCAGTTAGGATCACCTGCCATGTAGTAAGTTAACCTAATGTTATTAAAATTAGCCTTATAATCTTAAGTGTATTTTTCCCTATATTTGATTAGTATTATTTTAATGATACAGTATAGGTTGGTAGTATATTGCTATTTGGAATAACACTGCCAATGGAAATAGAACAAGTGTTTTCATTTTACGAAGAAAATTATTAGTTTATGCTTTAGTAGTAACTTAAACTCAAATAATAATTTTTGAACTTAGGTACATACATCAGAGAAATTTTTACTAATCACAATAATACTGAAAATGTGCATAAAATATTGTTAGTTGGATGTATTATGAATTAATTTTTTAAAAATTATATATAAATTGGGTATATTAATAAAAATAAGGACTAAAATTAATAAGTGCATTTGTTCTTTTAAATTGCCCAGTTTATTATGGCAACACTTTGTGAACAAATTATTTGTTAATTAAGTTTTTATGTTTGTATAACATCACTTGACAGATTTCATAGATTATAAATAGTATAACATAACATAGTTGTCCAAAAATGTTGAAGATTCCAATAAAGATTTTTCTGACATCAATAAGCATGTGTTCTTTATTGAAAATTGCGATTTAAAAATTTATTCTTCCCTCTTTTTATAAAATAATGAAATTTAGTTATATTGTTTTTAAAGTATTTTTTACCTTAACGTCTGGGACTTAATGCCATTTTTTGGAATAAATCTTCTGACAGCAGCATTGTTTGGTAAATAATATTAAAATATTGCCAAATTCAAGATGTAATAATCTTGCAAAGAACATGAACTAGCACTTGTGCAGAAAAGAATCTTAACTGTGCAGCTGCCCAAAGCAAAAAATAGCAGTGCTTATCACATGCTATATGTTATTGTATTTTTATCCCATAACACTGAACTGACATTTAATGAGTATATTATAAACATTAAAAATTTTTAATTTTTAAAATTAATTTTACTACTTTATTTAAATTTTAGCTACTCTAATTTTTGAATTATCTTTTCATTTATGATTATGTAAGTATGAGTTATCATCAGAGTCCATTTTGAATATTAGTTTTTACAAAATATTTTTGACTTTTTTAAAATACAAAATCATATGCATCAAGAATAAAATTTGAATGGCTTTAATATTTGACTTTATGCACATCATATTGTAGTATAATTTATTGTTCAGATACAGGGTGCATAGATCTTTAATTATTACATTTACTATTTTTATGCATTTTCATAAAATTCCAGGGTTTGTACGGTCCTTAAGAGTCTTTAAATTATTAAATGGAAGTAAATATTTTGAATTAATTTGTGAAATCATTTTTTTTTTTTTTTTTTTTTTTTTTTCAGCTATGAAGAGAATTCATTAAGTCCAACAATGAAACACATAGATGAAAAAGATAAAAGCCTTTCATTTGGTGAAATGGATATTAGAATCTCTCTAGCTGATACATTTCATGAAGAAATGGTTACTTGGTACCAGAATCAAGATTCTGTAAAAAAGGCAACCTTAGTATGACAAAAAGTAGAAAATATGAAATGTAAGAATTATACTATATGAATATATTGGTATATTTCAGAAATTACTTTAGTTGTTGATATACATAACAACAAATCAAAATTCCAAATCTTAGTCCTTATTTTCTGTAAGATAACTGATCAGTTTAAAAAATTCTGCCAATGCTATATTAAAATGAAAACATTAAATTATTGTCAGAAAATGATATGGCTATAAAAATTGGTTATTAATATGGACCCACTGACAAAAACTTGTTTCAATAAAAGGTGTAATTAGTACACACTTAAATGAATATATAATTTTTTTCATTTATGTCTAGTAGTAAAATTATTTCTTTGGAAATTAAATATAGGTCTATTATGATATACAGTTTATTAGTTTTTTCCAAGCTCTTTAGTCTTGTGGCCTGTATGCATCAAGCTGTAATTCATCATGACCCACATGCATGTAATTGTAATTTTTTGGCACGCACACACATATAGTTCTGGTTTAAAAAAAAAAAAAAAAAAAAAGAAAAGAAAAAAAGAGTTGAAAAGGAGATTTCTTTAAAGAAATGATGTAATAATAAATGAAATTGTATAACTATAAACAATTTATTCATACTGTTATATATATATAAGAAAAAGAGTATTTGAAAATTTTTCCCAATCTGCATTTTAAGAACTATTAATTCAATGTATCAAAATACAAATTTATATATATTGCAACATAATTAAAAGGAAGTTATAATATGTATGATGAGCACACACAGCCATATCAAATACAAGTCACATCAGATAATATAAGATTTTGATAATTCGGTAGAGCATCTGTCTTTTAAAGAGGAAATATTGGTTTCTATTTTTAGTCAGAGACCATATCTGTGCTTAACACTTTAAAAGTTTAACAAATTATGTTGCAGCAAAGTTACTTAATTTGGGTTGCTTGCCAATTTTGCATCGACTCATTTGTATTTTTTTTTTTACACTGTAATTTCTACTTAATTGTGAGAATCACTTTCTTCCACTTTTCATCTATCAATTTTTTAAATGCAATACAGAAAGAAGACACATCGGGCTTAAAATGTGAACAGTTGAATTAAAACCGCACAACTAATATTAGCAGCATAAAAACAGCACAAGTAATTAATACATATGGATTGTCAGACTGGATTGCTGATTTTAGCTGCGAGATTTCACAATTGCTTCCTTCAAATTGTGATGATGATGCTGATGTTGAACATGGACTGATGAGAGCTTGATATGGACTTAAATATTCTATACTTCTTAAATGTCTTCTTTTCTGTGGTGTTTATTATTAATAATTCTTGTACAATGATATTTTATGGCATGTTGGATAAAATGGAATGCGAGACAAAATTATATGTTTGTTTCCATTTGCTTCACACTTTTTTTTGGAGGGGGAGGGAAGGGCTTTATAACTGTAAGAGCTAACAAACAAAAATCACAGTGTTATTTTGAGAATTCGTGTCTCAGAATATCATTGTCCTACTTCTTGGAAATTTAAAAGCAAATTATATGTCACATTATCTTGCAAGAATAGTGTTCACACTCGTTAAGAGGTGTAAGTAAGCATGTATCGCAAGAAAAATACAGTATTATATTTTCTGTTTTACTTATCTGAGGTTGGTATTTCTTTGAATAATTCTTATGATAGATGTTATTTTATTTATATTTAAAAATATTTTTTATTCATGGATTAATGATTGAACTTCAGTGACAAAGGTAATGAATGACACAGATGGCATGGCTGCAAAGTGTGTCCACAGAAGATCTAGTGATCAGAAAGAGCCATCTAAGATGCAAAAAAGAAAATATGATGAGACATTTCTCCAGTTTTGTTTTACTTTCAACAACTGTGATGGTAATAAAAAACCTCTTTGTTTAATTCGCAATAAAGTTAAACAGTTATTATTACAAAACCATCAAAATTAAAAAGGCATTTTGAATCCAAGCTTCATACATCAGTAGACCAAAAGAGTATTTAGAACACCTGTTTGTAAGCTCCAAATAAAGAAAACAATATGTTGAGAAATTTATGACTGTTGGTGAAAAAAATTTACTTGCGTCATACGAAGTTTCCTATGATTGTTTAAGCTAAAAAGCCATACACCATCAGAGAAAAATCATGTGTTAACTGTGATTAAAATGTGTAAGCTAGAAGCAATTCGCAGATATACATCTGCCAACAAAATTCAGAAAATTCTCTGGTGTACAAAAAATGGCACCATCAGTAAGTTATGGTTAAAATTGTTTGATGTAAAATGTCATATCGTAAGGTTGGACATCTGCTAACATAATATATTAGAAATTTTGAATCAACGTTAGAAATTTTTTCATGTGAAAATGTCAAGTTTTAAGCCAAATATAAGGAACTTTTGAAGGAACTTTTGATTTACTTCTTTCATCTGAACAATTTTGCAGCTGAGGCACATTGATTGCTTTTAGAAGCATATCATGAGGCTGCCTTGAGTAAGAGAAGCTGTTGTGAGTGGTTTCAAAACTTAAACAATAACAAATTGGACATCAAAGAAAAAGAACATATTGGAGGCCAAAATTTTACAAAGATGCAGAATTGAAAGCAGTGCTGGATTCATGTAAAACACAAGTAGGATTTGCACTTACATTAGGAGTGACTCAACAATTGACACCATTTAAAATCAAAATCGAGAAATTGGGTTCCATATGAACTGAAGCCGGGAAACGGTGAGTGCCAATTTTATTCTAAATGTGAAATGCTGCTTGCCAGGCATAAGCAAAAAGGGTTTTTTGCATCCTGTAGTCACTGGTGATGACATTGACAGCCAAGCCTAATATTCATTGAAGAAAGTCATGTTGTGTATATCAGGGAATCAGCTTGATGTCATGTGTATTAACAGTAGCTCAAACCGAAAGAAACCATTATCGGATTTTAAAAAAAAAAAAAAAAAAAAAAAAAAAAAAAAGCTACTACTCCAGACATGACAAAATTATTCTTCTCCATGATAATGCTCGTCCAAACATGTTGTGGTGCTGGTCAAAACATACTTGGAAGCAATCAAATGGGAAGTTGTCCTGCTGTATTCACCAGATATTGCTCCCTTTGATTACTACTTGTTTTGATCAATGATGCATGGTCTGTCTGAGCAGTACTTCACATCATACGAAGATACCAAAAATTGGGTTGATTCTTGGATAGCCTCGAAAGATGAAGAGTTCTTCTGATGTTGTATCTGCATGCTGCCAGAAAAATGAGAAAAAGTAGTAGCTAGCAATGGGCAATACTTTGAATAAAACATAAGATACCATTTCATTCTTTCACACTAAATCCTCAAATTTTTTTATGAAACGGTGGACTTTTTGTACACTCATTAATTTTAATGGTTAATAATTTTAATAATTTATATAATTAATTTTAAAATTTTTTTTTAGATCAATTATATAAATTAATTATATAATAATTAATAATTAAATTTATATAATTTTTTAATTTATATAATTAATTTTTATTAATTTTAATGATTAATCGCTAATTTAAATACTAGGCTTAAAAAGAAAGCCCACAATTTACATTTCAGTCGGATGAAACAAATGATTCATAAATAACTCTGTTGTTACTATATGTTAGACACATTTATATAAAAAAAAAGCATTGATGAATTATTGTCATCATCTGGAAGAATGTACAAGAGGATAGGGCATAGATAGTAAAGTTGATGAATTGTTTAAAAGTGAAGGTTTAGAATGTAAAAATCATGTTGGAGTATGCACAGGATAGCATGAAAGCAATGATGGAAGAAAACATCAGTTTTTTAAATCATTTGTGCATCAATCACTTGAAATCGCAACTCCTGCCTAATCATCATTAACACACTGCCTAATCCATCAAGAGGCCCATGCTGGGGGGAGTTATCAAATTAAAGGATGTGCTTCAGGATTTTGTTAAATAAATAAACTATTGAGTTGTACTCTAAACAGCCATTTAATGCCAAATCAGTGTAAAGACAAGGACTCCAAATACAAAAATTTATTACTATACACAAAAGTAAAATGGAAGCCAAGAAAATGAAGATTAAAAAAGATTGTTATTAAAAGGCGAAATTATTAAATTTTCGATCAAAAAAAAATCTTGCTGCTCTTTTCAAAAAAAAAAAAAAAAAAAAACTTATGACTATCAAAGTTTTTGTCAGATACCAAGAATGCTCAAACTGCTTTCTTATTTACTTCAAATGATATAAGTGAATGGAAGAATAGGGTGGAAAATAATTTATTTGATGCTTTCACCTTATGACAATTTTAAAATTGAAAAAAAATAGTTCTGAAGCTAACTCCAAAAATCATTACAGATCACTAAAAAACACCAGAAACACTGTTTTACACATACTTTATGTCAAATTTTGATTTCAAAAAGTTGTTTATTTAAAGTTTGAATTCATAAGCCATTTTTTACTAGCATTAATGAGATTAATCACCCTCTACACAAACTCCAAGAGGAATTTTTAAACTCTTGTGCGATTCTAACTTAAAACTCGAGTTTTCATAAAAATCCTTGACTAAATTCTGGATTACAGCTAGATCTGAATTTCTCATGTTATCTGAAATGACATTAAATTTTCTTCTGGCATTTTGCACCACATATTTATGAGAAATAAATTTTTCAGCTTTAAACAAATATCAACTTAATACTGAAAAATGTTTAAGATGCTTTATGCCCAGCAATGTCAAATATTGCACCGAGATTTAATTTAAATAGTAGAAAACAAGCTCATGCATTTCATTAGTTTTTGTATATATGAAACAGATCTTGAAGCTTGTTTTTTATGCATACTATTTATTAAAGAAATAAATTATTTATGAGGAAATATTAATTTTTTATATCTTGATTTGATATCTGGGATCACAAAAAATTTGATAGAAAAGGATCATGAATGAAAAAAGATTAAAAAACACTGGTATTATAAGATATCAAATTCATGTTTGCTAGAAGGATTTGTTGTATATAAAGGGTAAGTTTTTGGATTATTTTAAAAAAATGCAGCATGATACTCAAGCAGACTGTTTTAAATACAACTAGGTGCAGATATTTATTTCTGCACCTAGTTGCTTTTGCATTTTCGGATGTATTTTGATCATTTTAAGTACTATAGTTTTAAAAAAGAAATCATAAATATTGCTATGTTATCAGCAGATTTAGTACAAAAAATAATGAAGCATTAATCTAAGACAGATTTAGTAAAATACAAAATGTCATAAATTTAATAAATTAAAACTGAGTACCATATTTCCCCTTGTATAAAGACTCACCTTAATTTTGGAACCTGAAAATTAAAAGAATAAAGAATTATTTGGTTGACTGACTGGTTTTTATTAGTCTGCCAGGTTACAATTCAATAGGAGAAAAATATTACATGAAATTGTAGAAATCAACATTTACTCAGTATACAACTCTTCATCACTGTCAGAACTTCCATCCAGTAGCTGGCACTCATCTGATTAAACCCTAAAGTACACAACAACCTACGTTTTCTCTAAATGTACTGTATCAATTCATTTTTTATTGTGGACAGTCTGGTCCTAAAAGGATTCTTTTGTAGTTACTTATTTTAAGGTTAAAGGTGACTTAGACTCACTATATATTTAGAGAGCAAGCTCCTTTGTTAAGAACTAGAAACAATATCATTTTGAAACCTTCATACCAGTTTTTTGTTTGGAGGTGGGGGGAGACATTTTTTTTAATCTTCAGACATTTTGGTTTTTTAAAGAAACATGAGTAAAGGCCTTTGCATTAAGAGTTAGCATGCACCATATGCTTTGTTGACAATCCTTTATCTTTGGTTTCATTCACTGTTGCCATTTTCATTGGTTCTGGTGGCATTGTTGTATAAGATATAACCAGTTTTTAGGTACAAAATTTTGAAAGAAAAAAGTATATCTTATACATGGGGTGAATGCAATATATCATATAATTGTAATAAAAACATTCCAGTTTTGGGCATTTTACTAAGCAACAGATATAGATTTCTTAGCAATAACTATTAAATTTAAAAACAAACTTTTTGAGGGGAAGAATAAAGTTTTCATAATTTTCCTGTCATGATTATAACATAGTTCTTTATTTAAAAATTCCTAATTGATTGCTAGCGTATTGCCTCAATAAAATGAAATTTCATATTGAAACTATAAAATTTTGTATATTTAATTAAAAGTGAAAACTTAATATTACATAAACATTAATTTATTCTGTATATAATTTTCTTACATGATTTAAGTCATGTGCTTACATGATTTCTTATAAGACTAAAGTATATTTTTTATTTTATTACAGATTAATCTTACAAGGCTATTTTTCATTTGGATTCCAAAAAGAAAATGTATATATTTATGTATTTATTTTATGTTGTATATATAGATGTATACTGATCTATATGTATATTTATGGATATCAGAAAATAAATTCTTAAGAAAATCTGAACAAATACTTTATGCATTTATTCAAGATTTACTGCACACTACATCAAGACTACTATTGAAGATAACTATATGTTGATAAATAAAAACCTGAAATACTGATTTAACATTCATATAACTTGTACATTTATTTCCAATCCATGGAAAATGCTAACAAACATTAAAACAGAAGCTGACATCTATCAAATGCATTAAAGCAAGAAATAAAAACACAATAATTATAATTGTATACATTTTAAAGTTACTACATCTCAACAGATTTTGTACACACATTTTGTTAAGCACAAGAATTTCTAAGTTTCATATACTGCATTTTAGCAAGACATATATTAGTTGATGATTAAATAAATATATATACCATATATAAATAAAAAAAGAATTTTAAGAACTGCTTTACTTTCTTAATTTAAAAATAGTTTAATTACATATATATTATCACAGAGAAATAATTTCATCTTAATTATACCGTTATCACACAAATATATTTTTGTAATTAATAGCCAAACAAATAATAAGCTTTTAAATTTCATAGTATTTACAATCACAGTCATGCTTTAAAGAATTTCATAATGCAATTAATTAAATTGCTATTTTATCTATGTATATTCATTACAAACTGCAGATTGTTTGCTTATTCTTTAAGATTACAATAATTAAAATGCATACTTTGAAATTGCACAATAAATTATATTTTAACAGCTAGATAATTTTTTTAAATAACATTTTAATGTATGCTTCAAGTATCTGTAAATACAATGCTCCTGTTATAAATGTTTCAATAAAATAAAGCATTGAAGTATTAAGTATTTGCATTTTACATTATGGGCTAAGAAGCTTCAGCTCGTAAATTTTATTTAAAGCCACAGTAAACTGTAAAAATTTATCAGTGAAACACTGTTGTAACTTATAAGGTAATGCTCATTTCAAAAAGTTCAGTTAAATTCTTGTTCTATAATGAGAGTAGAACTATTTCATAATTAGTACTGTCATATTAACGGTCCCACCAGTGTTCAAGTAGTTAAGAATATTGGAAGTTTGAATGCAGGCAAACGGGCTCATAGCATAGTTGGTTTTCATGGTTTTTTCTATGTGTAACATGAATATGAGCCACTTTCTTTCACTAAGCCCCCTATGGAGGCAGATAGTCCTGTGTGTTTTGCCACATTCCAATAACTTAACCTGTTAGGCTAATAAATAATTTGTTTTTGATATAAGCAAAACTTAGTGCAAGTCTTTCCAGTTCTGAATTTTAAATATTCCTAGGGTATAGATATAAACTGTTGATCTAAAAATTCACAATTCTAAAAAAGGGGGAGCAGATGCCTATACATATAGCCCAAAAATATTTTATAATTCTGTGCTATTTTATGATTTTCCCAAATTTTAAAGTCCTTCTAAGCCTCTACTTCATTCTTCTTAGAATAAAAATACAAAATAATAAATAACAGGCACATAACAGAATCTTAATTTGCATGTATGTTTATTTTATGTGCCCATTTATTACTTGCAGTAACTAACATAGTTATTATTATAACAGTTCACATGAAAGAATATACTATATACAGTAACACCCCGCTTAACGCTGTTTCGGTTTAGCGCTCTTTTATTTCAACCCGGGGATTCCAAGAAATCGCTCGCAGCATACGGGGATTCCCCGAAATATTATGCTGCGATAGGTTTCAAATACATATCCGAAAGAGAGTACTTGTATTTCTTGTTTGGTGCGGTATTGTACAGACATATTTTGAAGGGGTAAATGTGGAAGATGTCGAAGAAATAATTCAAGAAGCAGCGGCTAGTCTTTCTAATGATGAGCTCAAGGAATTAACTGAACAAGAAAAAAACAAAAATGTGACAGCAGTGATTCAGAAGAAGAGCAAAAAGAACTTTCGATGGCGTTGTAAAAAGGAGTTTGCCATAACTGAAATAATGGATCAATTCATTGAAATGATCCGAATTTTGACAGGAGCTCAAAAGTAAGGCGTGGTGTTAAGATGCTCTATCCGTTTATGAAGAACTTTTAAGAGAACAACGCAAAAGAAAAAGGCAAACAACATTAGATGCTTTTGTCACAAAAAGGCAGAACACTGAAAACGCGGAAGGCTAACTAAATATGACTGACTTAGAATTTTAATTTATTTTTTTAAGAATATTCGTTTTGTTATTTATATTTTGTTTTTATTTTTGCAAGAAATAATAATGTGGTATTAATTTGGGCTTTAAGAAATAAATGTTTGGTTTTATTTTTATTAAAAAAACATACTTTTTAAATTTAATACCTCCTAGCCATCTTCCCCTAACCCCAATATTTACATGTAAAGATAGCCTGTTTTGCATTACGCTCTACTTTGATGGAACGTATCCCCCGCGTTAAGCGGGGTCTTACTGTACATACTTTTTGAACAAGGCATAAAAGATGGAAAATATTTTGCTCATTTAAAAGTGTATATAGTTTAAAAAAATTTACTGCTAAACCAGTGTAAACAGATATTCAAAAAGGTGTTGATAATAAATTACATCTAGCAATGTAGTATAGTTTTGCAATCTTCCAGAATTCTGAAATGTTCCCAGTTTTTTTCAGAAAGTTTGCCTTTGATGATAAAAAACTTCATATTTTTTTCTGAATCATTTGTATGATTTAACAGTTAACTTTTTTCTTTTTAAGTGTATACAATTAGCTTCATTTGTTTCTCAAACCAGTCAATGCCTTTTTAGTACTCACTGGAAAATCTGGAATTAGTACAGAGCAGAAAACCTATATAGGTAGAATTTAACAATACATCAAGCTTATTTAAGTCCATTTCCCTTTTGCTCTGTGTTAAATGTTAACTTTTCAGAAAGTAGAGGGTGAAACGAGGTCATTTCTTACGATTTATATGAACTTCTTCAAACAGCTATGATTAAAAAAATTTTAAATATAAATTACAGGTAGGATATTACAGTGTTCCACTGTTTATTAAAAATGTCCATTTCTATATAGAATTCCTTTAATCGCTTTTCGAGCTAAATTAAAAAAATTTTACTCCTGATTATGATCATGAGATTTTTGCTAGTTTAAGAGATATAATTTCTTAAAATATTTGACAAAAATATTGTATAATAGAATACTTAACTTGAAACAAAAACATAACACATATAAATAATTTATATCACAAATATGGTCCCCCAAACAAAACACCAAATGCTTTCTATCACATAACTGCACAACAAGACCTAGCAACACTCATGTAGAGTTATTAAATACTAAAGATGTACGGCAATGGCTAAAAAAATGCAAGCACACATATGAAATTATAAATGACAAAGTTATACAACTTCATAGCCCCTTCTCATATGACTTGACAAAACAGGTGATTTGTAATTCAAATTGACAATGCTTTGTGGAATGGCACAATCATCATAATCGATGAAATCGCATATTACAATATTTAATCCATGTGGTCCAGGATGTTTATCCTCCAGCCATTTCAGTAACTGTTTATTGCAATCAGAAACTAGTACACTTCTCAAATTCCCAAGAAGATTTCTCAAGATCAAGAAAAGATTGGGTGTAAGAATGGCCTGTGAAACAAAGAATTTTCCAGCTTCTCTTCTCCTGTCTATTGTCAAGAAAGCAAGTAAATTCTTGATGCTCCTCGTGTTTGGCCAAGGATTTGGAATTGATTCTCCAGGCCACAAGAATGGATGGTACTGTGCAACTGTATCCCTATAGAAAACAACAACTTGGAAACCTCGTTCCCAAAGCCAGGATAGCGTGAATTCCGTCAGATCTGCAACATAGGGGCACAGCATTGCTCCAAACGTTTCTGTAAGTTGGTGCAGTAACTTGTGGTGATCAAAATGGTTCATCTCGTATAAATGCTGAAAATCCAGTAAAATAACTTCTTTTGAATGAGTAGTAAGAAACTCGTACATTGCTTCAAGGATATTTTTGGTTTCTGTTCCATATAGCCCATGTACAATGTAAAGTTCTCCATCATCAGCTCGTTTCGCAACTCTCAGATCAAAATATCGAATTCCAGCTTCTAACTGTTGTTTGCAATCCAGTGTTTGAGTACAACACCAGTTGTAGATAATGCGTTTAGACAAACAGCTTGTTGCTCGAATAAAAAAGGAATTGTACAGCCCAGGATCATCAGGGGAAATATCAGAATGTGGAGTTAAAGATGAACTGAGAGAATCATGTGAACCTAAAGTAGGAAAAAAATAATAAGATGTTACCTTGAGGGTTATACAAGCCTGTATAAGGGAAATTAAATCATATTTAGCTCTTAAATGCATATCATTGCCATTTGGCAGCTTACTCATAATTAGTCATGCAAATCAAATCAAAACAGAAATTTTAACTTACTGCATAGTGTAACCAATTGAATACATACTGTTTGCATATATAATTTTGAAAATTTCAGTGTATTGGCACCACTAGTGGTGCCACCACACTGAACGGTCATTATTGTGAGTCACTAAATAGTCATTATTATGCATTGATGTGTAGAGTATGGACATCATTTATTTGAGAAATTTTTGATTTTGTGTTTGTTGTTATTTTGATGTATTCAAACTTTTAAAATTGTTTGAACAAGTTTATAAGGTATGTATTATTACATAAAACTGTTATTACACATTTGCCTATCATTTTTTTTTTCATAACGTAGACATTTGACAACAATAATACAGTCAAAAGTCGTTAATCCGGACTCGTCGGGACTTCAACGATTCCGGATTATAGATCATCAGTTTAAATCTGGTAAGATTGCATGCAGAAATTATAATATTAAAAATATGAAACCGTAATTTATGAAATAAAGAACAATTATGATCTAAAGGGTATCAAAATTTACAAAAAAAAAAAAAAAAAGCTTAATATTTATTTAGTTTACTTTATAAAATCAATTATCATTTCTTTCAATGTAAGTTGTTAAGTTGCTTCATTTTTTATGTGATAATACTTTCTCTTTAATTCTATAAACAGACATAATTTCTTGTTCAGTTACAAAGTTCTGCTGTTCAAGTCCTATAATTGCTGTGTCGAGAATACCGACTAATTTGTCAATCGAAATTTTTTTGTTTTCCATAACCTCTGTGATGACGAGGAATTTGATTTAAATCATATCAAAGACGGAGTACATCGAGATGAGATACTACATTTAGTAAGGAATTATAAGCCAAATAAAATAAAAACATCTGCTCTGAAGATAAGGATAGTGCTGACAGATCAACTTCCAGTTCATTGTGTGGCGCAATCTTATCAGATTTAAATTGATGATCTATAATCCGGAATTGCCGAAGTCCCGACGAGTCTGGATTACAGACTTTGTACTGTAGTTTTAAAAATGAACATAAATTTTATTAATGTTTATGAAAGCAATTTTTTAGAAGTATTTCATTAATAAATCATGCATCTTAAATACACCTGTCATTAATACGGAACCTTCACCTTCAAATCATAATTTTAAGTACAAAAAAAATATTCACAAAATGATTAATCAAGTTATATTATACAAGGGTAGGGTTTTAAGAATAATGTATCTGCTTACATACAATTATGGCAATTTATATAATTAGTAACTTTTTTAAAAATATGATACATTTGTTTTAATGTTTGCAAAAAGAACTCTTATATATCTGCAAAAAGGAATTAAGATTTATTAGATTTTAAATAAAATTAAACTAGTTAGTAATCTCTTCCTAGATTATTGTTTTCACATGATTCAGAATAACATGCAACTGCATATTGTATTCTTATCTCTGGATACCTATAAACTAAAAATATGTTGGTTTTTAAAATTGGAATGCAGCACTAAAGAAATTTTATTATTTAATCAGATAGTTTTAATTAAGTTCATCATTATTAATGTAACCTTTTAAGAGAAAAAAACATAGTGTATTCAATTTTTTTTTTTTTTTTTTTTTTTTTTTTTATATATATTGCCACATTTTCAGTATTAATCCACAATGTATGTTTCTTTATAATAATAAATTTTTCAGTTAGACTGAAAAATCATGTCCGGAAATAACAGAATTTTTTAACACTCACAAAAAGAGAAGTTTAATTTCTAGGACTAATCTTAGAGCTTTAAGTCTAGCACATTATATGGTTCAGTTAAAATAAAATCTGGGTTATAAACATTGCATTTAACTTTATTAAGATTTTAGAAGCAAAACTAACTATATAAGATAAAAATTATCAGTGGAGAAATAACAACCTATAGTGAAACTCCCTGAGCTATCCCAACATTTTCAATTCTAATCAGGGAATCACAAGCAAGGGAGAAAATCTGGTACTTAACATATTATCCTATCAACCATGAAACTGCCACCTAACAGCAGATTTAGTGCCAATTATGCATAAGTGTGATACCACAAAACACTCATAACATCTGTGCTTTCGTTTGATGTAACTCTGATTAATTCTTGATAAGCAACATTTTGTTTTAATGAAGAAGGATATAAATTAACTATTACTCCTGTATTTCTTTCCTTGCATTTTGGAAAAAAATGAGTTTACATTTGTGACTGTTCTGGTACATTTACAGAAGCCAGAGCTTTTGGTAAAATTGGAAGACCTAACAAAGTCACAGAAATCAACAAAAGCTTTTTTTACGACGTGCAAAAACGAAGTTGGATACTTCTGTAGCCAGGGGTGTAGCTAGAGGGGGGCATCTGTCCTCGGACGCAGAATCCAAGGAGCGCCAAACTGATGTTACGACATTTTAAGAATTAAATGTTTTCCATGCTTGGCAAGCAGTAGGGGGTGCGAAATCTTCAGTTGTCCCTGGGCGCTGAAAACCCTAGCTACGACTCTGTCTGTAGCAGTGGCTTTTTGGTGGATTGTGCAGAGAGAATGATGAATGTTTTAATGTCAGAGTAGCAGGTACAAGTGCAGCTCAGAATTCTGTAGGAATGATAGGTAGGATCTCCACCAACTTTCATGATCAACAGAATAATACATAAGTACCAAAAAACCTACTTGGGTTAGTTGAATTCTTACAAGGTTCATGTTCAGAGAAGGTTCATGTTCCATGATGGGAACGTACGTATACTGTACCATAGTATGCAGCTCCTTTATTTGTGCATATGAGCAGACGAACCCCCAAGAAACACAAATAAAATTTTTAAAATGTTAACTGCATTTCTAGATTTTTGTCAATTTCCAGGATGAGTTCCTCACCCCATACTCTTTCTAAATGTGCTAACACATAGGTAATGTACTGCATAGTAGGTTATTATATGCATAGAGTACTTGCTTTTTCTCGATCGCAAGTGGGATTTCAGAAATGCCCATGAGTTACCAGTTTATTGGGACTGAAGCCAACAGGACGGGGAGTTGAAAAGCATCGCTGATACCATTTCATTTGCACATCTTCAGTGTGCAGGAGCTTGCACTGTTTGCAGTTATCTCGTCTGAATTCTCCTTTAGTTTTCTATATTCAGTTAGTTAATTGGTTTTTCTGTTTTCTTCATATTTTTTTAATTGTTATCATTTTTCGATGCATATTTTTTGTGAACTACTGTAAACAGTTGAGATGGCACTTGGTAAAATCAGTGCTCCAGAACTAAAGCAGTAAAATCAGCATTTCGGAATCAAAGTAATTACATTTTTCAACACTGTCTTTGCAAAGAAAATTTGAAATGAAATTACTCACGTTAACATCTTTGCTAAACCTTACCCAGATAATGAAATGTAAGACTAAAGATTTCAAAAGACAATTCAAACCTGATTTATATGAGAAATGTTTATGGATTTGTGAATGCTAAAGAACTAAAAGGCCTTCCCCCCTCCCCCATATCTTTTTTTTTTTTTTTCAAAACAAAATGATGATTCAAGTTGGGTGAGTTATAGTGTTGCTCACAATCACATTTAAACTTCATCTTAGAATTTAATTTGCTAGGGAAACAAAAGAAATTCAGAATAATTTATTAGACTGCATGCTCACTGTCTGTCTGAGCCACATAAAATGAGATCTCAAAAGCTAGCTTTGTTTCAGTAATAGCAAATGAAACTACTGATCTATCGTCCACTTCTAACATGTTAACCGTTTTTGATATGTTTTAATAAACAACCAGTTGAAAGACTCTGAGAATTCACAAATCCACTTGGGTATGATTCAAAATCTATAGATGAATGTATCCAAACAAGTTTTGAAAAAATATTAGACAAACCTGAGAAATTAATATCACAAAACTACATGCATAATTAGTGATCATCAGGCTGGTGTTCAAGCTTTTATTCAACATACCTACAATTCTGTTTATGAATGAGAAGGAAGCCCTCCTTTTTATGATAAAAATGTTATAAAATCTGTAACCTGTAAATTTAATTTTTCCTGATGTAAGAGAATTGAGGTTGACCATTGGCTGCTAAAAATGGCTGCTTAACCAGGGTCAAATCTTGATAAATGCATGGTTTTTTCCATGTGTAATATAAATACAAGCCATTTCTTTAAAATGCTCTTTGAAGGCATTTCTCCCCTTAGGCAGTCAGCCCTTACATGATTTGGATTAATTAATTAACCTAACAGTGGAATACTTATTACTTAAATTAACTTATACAAAGAGTATATTTTCTAATTTTAAAACAAATGCATATATTGATACTATCCTAGGATTTTTCAAAACTTTAGATAGCATTTTTCATTTTTTAACTATAAAATTTAAAAAATGTGTCACATAGCAATTTTTTTTAACACATAAATACATTTTGACTTAAAAGGTGGATTATGGCATTGTATAAGTCAATCACATGGAGTCCAGTATTCCAAGAGATTTCCCATTCATTACCTTTCTCCCCTTAGGCAGTCAGCCCTTACATGATTTGGATTAATTAATTAACCTAACAGTGGAATACTTATTACTTAAATTAACTTATACAAAGAGTATATTTTCTAATTTTAAAACAAATGCATATATTGATACTATCCTAGGTATTATTTCAAAACTTTAGATAGCATTTTCATTTTTTAAACTAATAAAATTTAAAAAATGTGTCACATGGCAATTTTTTTTAACACATAAATACATTTTTGACTTATAAAAAGGTGGATTTATGGCATTGTATAAGTCAATCACATGGAGTCCAGTATTCCAAGAGATTTCCCATTCATTACTTACTTAAAAAAATGTCCCATCTTTGCATTTCATGTATCTACTAGTGGATACATGCTATGCAAATTGGTAAAATCCATGTACTCTCTAGTGATAGCAGTACTATCTATAGCAGTACAAAACTATCTAATGAAGCATCAAATATTATGATATATAATATTGGGATTAAAATGTATAAATATATTTTCTATGCTGGGTAATTAAGAGTTGCTAAATTACAAATTTTCATACTACTGCTCAAAATGTTTGCAAATACATAATGAAATTTGCCATACATCAGATGAATAATTTGTTAGTTACCTTATTTAAGTTATAGCATACCTAACATTTATTTTACTTTCTTATTGAACCTTCCAGGATATTATCAACATGCACATACGTTTGTCAGGTGTATTTTTATTATTGTACTCATCTTTCAATTTTGCACAGCTATCAGCATTAAATTTATAAAAATAAAAGATGCTGTTTCCATAATAAATAATTTTAATAATAATAAAAAAAACATAATGCTGGCATACATACATTTGCATTTAAAATGAATATCAATATGAAGCCATTCAAATTAAACTTAAATAAATAAATTACTAAAATTCCATCTGTCATTAACTGGCTTTAGTAATATATCTACAATTTTGTTAAAACAAATCAACTCCACTGCATCTGATTCAATCTATGATAACAACAGACAATTTCTTTTATTTCATTGCAGTTTGTTTCTTAAATAATACATTATTTGTTTCAATGCCGAAAATAAAACATTCAGTGCTTGCAATTGAAATAAGCATTTTCAAAATTGTTTGCATGTTAAAAAAAAAAAAAAAAAAAAAAAACTCGTATTTATAAATATGTAATACTTTTAAGAGAATAACAGCGAGTTGCTAAAATTTTTGAGCTAGTGTTAATTTAATATAACGAAACCAAGATACAAAGAAAAATTATCTTTGTTTTGTTAAAAGAAATGAATAGCAACTAAAAAAGAATAATAAATTTCCTGAAAATTTTATGTTCTTAACAAAAACACCATTATTTAAACTATACAAATAAGTTTATACACTTTCGTGTAGTTCTATAACTACTAGATAAATAAGAAAAATATTTAAATAATTAATTGATGCTATACATGTTAGGTTAGTTAATAACTTCATACTCATTGGTTATGGTCTAGTGATTATATTACAAATTTTTAGAACTGGTCTCTGTCCAGTTAAGCACTAAATTAGCTACTAAGTAATTACCATAAATTTTCTAAATACATTTTACAATTCAATTTTAATAGCTTGATCACTAAATTAAATAAATAAATAAATAAATAAATAAATAAATAAATAAAAAACGAAAAAAACAAGCGTTTACTGGTTACATTCATGCAACAGCACCTTAAAGAGACAAACTACAAAATACTCACAACTTTAAAAAGAAACTACAGATTTGTTCTTATTATCATCCTTTTGTGACTGTGACATAATACACATAGGAAATAAAATTGCTATAGTACTTACATACGTGAAATTTTTGCAATATAGCAGTTATTAGTATACCTTGATGGTTTCATACAACTTCTGTAGGTCAGTCTCAAAATTCTAAATAGTTATTTAATGTCTGAAGAAAACTGAAAGTTAAATTTTTAAACCCAGTAACTAGAAAAAAATTTTGATAATTCCTTGTTAAAGAGTTTCTACATAAGCTTCTGGGGATATTTGAAAGCTATATCTTACAGGTCAACCATTCAAGTACTAATTTTAACCACTAAGCATCATGATGGCCCTTGCTACCTAAAATAATACATACTAGATCTGTTTTCATGAATAACACTGTGAAACATGGGGAAGCGAGGTAATGAAATAATCACTTTTTTCACAAAGTGTATACAACACGATCTATTTTTAGTGCTTTTTTTTTTTTTTTTTAACATTTATTTGGCAGAGTTTCCAAACATTTTATAGATTCTCTGAGTTGATAAGGTTTATGACCATTGATCTACAGAAAGAAATTCAAATAAAGATAGAAAGCTCACAAATTTCCCAGTAATCTTTAGTTTTTGCGTTATGAATTTAATATCTTGAAAATTGCCACTTTCTTCTGCAGTTTATAATTACTTTTTTTCTTCTTGTTAGGAAACCATAAAGCTTTAAAAATGTGGCTCTTATGGTTTCGCCCAACTGAATGCCATGAGATTCTTTACAAAGAATGCTGTTACATAAGTGTCTTTGAAATACTATCGAAATTTACGTAGTAAACTACTTTGGTATACGGTTGGTGGACCGGTAGACGGTAGTAAACTACTTTGGTCTTTGAAATACTACCGAAAATTACTTTCGACTTTTTCAAATATACCTGTTTATGCATTTCATAAATATAAAGGCCACTTGCATAAATTAAATGCTGATTAGAGAAAGCCGTCTACTTAATGTTTCGACTTCATATATATGTGATAGAACTATTTATAGGCATTTTGTAAACGTTAACAACAATTTGAAGATTACATTAACTTGTTTACGAACCAGGAAAGTAATTCCCCGAAAATAATAAATACTAATCCAAATATTGATTAGCACTTTAGTTACTTTCATTCAATAAAAATATGAAAAATCTCCCAGAAACATGCGAGAAAATTGTACACAAACTGAAATGATATTCGTTTGTTTGCTTACGCGATGCAAGCCTGCGCAGAAATGTAAGGTAGCCTTTCCTCATATGAATAGTATTTGCTATTAATATCTTTCATATAAAGTCGGGGTAGCAGATATATGCTTACCAGGTATAGCCAGACAATGTAATGGTAATGAATGTGCTTCTTCAGGTAATTTTTCCATCCACCGATCTAAACATCTTTTGTTTTTATCGAATTGTAAATCAACTTCCACAAGATCCGCGGGATCCATTGCTCTTTAAAGCCGATCGATTGACGTATTTTTGTGTTGCCATTCCTAGCATAAATTTTCAGAGAGTCATGAATATCCGAACGTCGCTAGCATATGTTTCTAATTATCAGAAATTTACCTTCCATTTTGATTTTGATAATTAAAGAGGACATAAAACTTAGAAAACAAACGAAAGAATTAAATATTTAATTATTACTTTTTAAAATTTTGTATCATAAAAAAATTAACTGTGCAGATGCTAAAAAATGCTGCCTTATGCCGCTAACATTTCTAGAGATTCGAGTAGCAGAAAATTTCATTATTCGTTGGATTCAGAATCATCATTTCAAAGATGATTTACAATGTATTAACTGTAATTCGAAATTCATCTTTAGCATTTAACATCAAACATCCTTACTTCCTTCTCGACATAAATTTAGCGAATTACTAGTGAAAGAACTTCATACTACTTACCTTCATGCTGGTCCTTCTTTATTATCACATCGCATCAGACAATCTTACTGGATAATTGGAGGAAAGAAACTGATACGCAGTTGTGTCAACCATTGCTTAATATGTCATCGATTTAAAGCTGCTTCAAATCCGCAATTGATGCGTGACTTACCTGAACATCGCGTGACTTTGGAACGACCTTTTTACGCATCTGGTGTGGATTACGCTGGTCCTATTACCATGAAATTTAATAAGGGTCGTGGTTCTAAAACAACGAAAGGCTATATAGCTCTGTTTGTTTGCTTGTCGACTAAAGCTGTGCATATAGAAGCAGTCAGTGACCTGACGGCAGACTCGTTTATCGCGGCACTTAGACGTTTCATTCACGTCGCGGTGCACCACGGCACATTTACAGTGACAACGGTACCAATTTTCTGGGAGCATGCCGAAAACTACAAGAACTAAATCAGATTTGGTCTTCCTTGTATGCAACAGAATCGGTTTTCCGAGAACTAACTAAGTCATCTATTGAACGGCATTTTATACCGCCTGCTTCGCCCCACTTCGGAGGAATATGGGAAGCCGGCATTCGCTCAGCGAAATTTCATCTGCGAAGAGTATTGAAAGAGATTCTTTTAACCTACGAAGAGTTGTCAACGCTTCTTACCCAGATCGAGGCTATTTTGAATTCACGTCCACTTACTTACGTGAACGATTCTGATATTGACTCTATTAATGTTTTAACCACTTCTCATTTTATTACAGGTGATACTTAGACTTCCTTTCCAGAGACACATCAGTCTGTTCGCGCAAGGAGTTCTAGGTGGGAACTTGTACAGAATCTACGTCACGGATTTTCGAATCGATGGAAAAGGGAATATTTGACTTCTCTTCAGAAGAGATACAAGTGGCAGCACACCAAACCCAACCTGAAAGTCGACACAGTGGTTCTTGTCATCGAAGATGGATCTCCACCTCTAGCTTGGCCTATAGGACGGATCATCGATGTCCATCCGGGCAAGGACGGCTTAGTTCGCGTAGCTACAGTTTAAACTAAAGCTGGCATCTTTAAAAGACCAATTAATAAACTTTCACCTTTGCCTATGTATCAGGACTAAACCTGATAGTGTGGGAGTAGGTTCACTTCCATGCCTATCGAATTAATTTCTACCTTTTCGTTGCCCTACGTTGGCAACACGCTTTTGAGTTTTGTCGTTCGTAGAATTCGGTCGCTAAAAGCGTAGCTGGCCTGCAACGGTTGTAATTCTTATTTTAATGCTTATCTGTACTCCTGAATTATTACTAAATGTTTACGTGTGAATGTTATATTATTAAATGTATTCAGTTTGATTTAAATAGACTAAGAGTCGTTGAATTTATTAAGTATATTTAAAGTCGAAACTGCATCATCCATGTCGGCACCATTCTAATACGAGGAACGTAAACAGACAGTAAAAATATTACTATTAGTTAAACTTGGTTACCTACAAGAGGATTAGCTATCGAAGCTGTCATTTTTGATTTGATCAAAAGCACTTCTAAACATGGAATCTGAGAGTCTCGTATTCTTCTTATTTTACTATTAACCTAGTAAGATGAACAAGGTAATGCTGTTACTTTGAACTAAAATTAAAAAATGAAATTATGTTACCCATTGAAGTCCTTGATATTGCAAGGATAATGAAAAAACTTAAAAATAGTCAGACATTAGGGGAACTTCGTCCACTTGCTTCCATCATAATTGGTAAATATTAATGCTAGCCCCTGCATCTCCAATGCGCAATAACTATTTTTATGTTAAAGATTGCTATGGCAACAGCGATATATATCTCAGATGATACATCGTTGATTATGTTTCTTTATTTATCTCAGTTTATAACTCGCCAGATTACTATAAGTGATTAGGCGGCCAGACAGTAGAGTGGTTAGGGAAGCCTGATTGCGATACCGAAGGGCCTGGGTTCGAATTTCACTCTGATTGTCATGTTTCTTGTCACAATATATATAATTTATAATAACTCTTAACTTGGATATGTCTGACATTCACTATACTACTACTCACGTATCTGTAAAGTAAAAACCATGTCGGAAACAAAAAAGAAGAGACGGCAGTATAATGTGGATTATAATTAAATACGGATTTATCGAAATCTCACGAATCCATCATCCCCAATGTGCCTTATTTGTCAAAAACATTTTCAAATGAAGCGATTAAGCCTTCTAGGCTTCAAGATCATTTTAATAAAATACACCAGAATAAGAAAGACAAAGATGTGACCTATTTTGAAAACAGGAAAAAGAAGTACAAAATTCAGCCAACTATATGAAACTTTCTTCATCAGCTTCTAAGCAAGACGATGACAGACTTTGAGCTTCGTACAATATCCCATTGTTGATTGCTAAAACAGGCTACTATTGGAAAAGATTTCATTTTACCAGCAGTAAAAGAAGTAATAAGCACTGTGCTCCATAAACCAGCTACAGATATTATCCGAAAAATTCTCTTGAGCAATAGTTCTGTGCAAAGACGAATTGAAGAGATGGCTGAAAACATTGAAGAATCAATGTGTAATCATCTGTAGACTCGTCAATTTTCAATTCAGGTGGATGAGCCCACTTTACCAACCAATGAAGCATTATTGTTGTAATACATAAGGTTTATCAAACATGAAAAAATATGTCAAAAATATAGTTGCTACCAATTTGGAAACAGTTATAAAAGGAGAAACCATACTCAATACATTGGAAAAGTTTTGTGACGAAAAAGAAATTTCTTTAAATAATATTTTGTCAATTGCTTCGGATGACGCACCGGCTATGATAAGGCGTCACAAAGGCTTCATAGAGTGCTTAAAAAATAAAGCTCCTGACGTGCTTGCTATGTATTACGTAATTCATCGCCAGCATTTGGTTGCGAAAAATCTGAGTGAACGGCCTCCATACATCACTGCAATATGTTATCAAAGTAGTTAATAAAATCAGAAGTAATTCGTTGAATGACAGATTATTTAGTCAGCTTTTCATTGCCAACGATGAAGATTTCAACTGACTGCTGCTTGCCCTAGAAGTGCAATGGCTATAAAAAGGTACTTGTTTAACTGAATTTCACAATCTGTTTGGGTCTGTGATAGAATTCCTAGGAAACAAAGACACGGAACTGCGCTACAACCTCATTTCATCAAAGAACGATATTGTGCACCTGACAGGACTTGTATAAATTGCTTAATAATATCAATCTCCAACTTCAAATGCGACAATTTAAACTTGATTAATACAAAAAGTAGCGTTACTGCTTTCGTGTAAAATCTACTATTATATAAAAGAAATATTGGCAGACGCGAATTCAATAACTTCCCAAATTTATCAGCACTATCATTCAAGCATGAAGACTTGCTTGTTTGCTGTCAACACTTGGAAAATTTCCACAGTGATTTCAAAGAGCGATTCTAGGATATTCTAAACATGGACATACCAAAGTGAGCTTTGGATTTTGAAACTGTACCTAGGATTTTTGGTCGATTGTTCAACGATTTCTGATAGCTTTCCTGTCTTCCTGTTTAGCTGAACGTGGATTTATCGCTGTAGCAATGTTGGATAACTAAAAAGAGAAATCGGCTTCATGTTACTGAACACGGCGACTTACATTTGTTTTTAAGTAAAATAGAGCCTCATGTTAACAAACTTCTTCAAATGCCTGAAATTCAACCTTCTTATTAGATAAGTAATAAATTCAATATCTTTTGAACGTTAATAAAAATACTTTTAATATAACTAACTATGCGTTTTAATTGTTCTCAATGAAACAGTCTTCTTTAAACTCAGAATAAGGACAGGATTATTTTCTATCTTATAACTATAGTATATAATATTATACGCTTAAATATAATCGTGGCAATAGCTGTTTCAGATTCACAAGTAAAGGGAGTGGCTTTAGAAAAAAAAATATTCTCAAAGTGGGCGGTGGGCAGAATGAGGTTGAGAACCTATGATTTATATTTTTCTGCCTTAAGAAAATTATTTCACGTCAAAAATCAACATTTTATAAGTTTGTACAATAGATTATGGAAAATAAATATGGACTACCTGCCTTTTAAAAGCTTATACACCAAGGGTGGCCAACTTTTACACCAACTGGAGCCGTATGCATGATAAAATTCAGGAATATTAAAGGCCACAATTAGACTTTCTATCACCCACAGCTAGGTTTCTATATCATTTTAAAAGAAGCAAAATAATTTTTGAATAGTAGAAAACGTTTGAGATAAATTAATAAGGATTTTGCATATTTTAAGTAGGCAGTTTTTAATTATCATTATTTATTACTAAAAATCTTGCTGATCTTTCTTTCTATTCAGGAAAGTATATTCCTACGCTTTAAAAATTTAAAACTTTTTTGTGATTCAATAAGCACTCTTTATTCTTCTCCTCTACTTAAGTAGTAAACCAGAAGTTTTTTTCCTTCCAAATTTACACTTCTGATTATAATTAATACCCGATAGGAAGAAATTGAAAAATTGAGGGAGGAAAAAAAAGAGGTTTCGACGCTAATCTACAAAGTTTTTCATTTAAATTTAGAATAACTAA